CCATACCCCCCTCCATGTTCTAGGTATCCCACTTCTTGGCACGCCTTCTACCAGATTGCAGCCTGGTCAAAGTCGAACCTCTTCAGCTCCTTCCCTGCGTCTTCCAAGTCCTTCTTCGCCTTCATACGCATGTAGAAGATGGGGCAGTCCTTGCTACTGCAAATCACTTCGCAGTGCATGCTGCCCTGACACCGCTGGCACTGCGTCCAGAGCCGGCCGAATCGCACCTCGAGATCCGACGTCTTGTCCAGTGTCTTCTTGTACAATTCGCCGACCCGAGGCGCGCAATCCGAGCACACTGCCCCCGCGCTCTCCTCCTTGCCTCGGAGTGGTTTCTTGCATCCCATGCATGTTTGCGTCTTCTTTGCAAACTTCATCAGGCCTCCGACGGCCGGGGCTGACACTGCAATCGTGCGCGTATGCGCTCCCGTGAGCAGCGAGTTCGCCTTGGTCTCACCCAGAATGGGCTCGAAGATTCTGCCCAAAGGCTTCGCAAGCTGGTTATCAAGGTAGTATCGGGTGTCGATCGGTACGTTGTTTTCAAGGACGTAGATGGGATCCTCAGACTTCTCGTAGTTCTTTGCACCTGCCGCACCCTTGATCATCACATAGGCAACTCGATCACCTAGACCTGGTGCCGAGCCTGCATCGCGCTTCTTCATTCTCTGAGCGAGCTCGACGTGAGCCTGTTTGGCTGCGTAGTCGTCTTTGGTGAGCGCCTTCGTAATGACCAACTTTGACATATCAACCTTGTTTTGCAACAAGTCCGCAATCGTGTCTTTGACGTAACTGAGAGTAAAAGGTCAGTCGACATTATTCAGAAATCAGATGGTGCAAACTTACTCTTGCGCTCCCTGGACATCTTGGTCGATGAGCATCATTCGAAGCACCTTCTCAATCACGGTTTGTACGAGCAGGCAGTTGTCTCGTCGAACCGTCTCGATACCCTTCGTATCCATCTTGTCGTACTTGTTGGGATTCGTCCAGTACAGGCCGGCGTATCGCTTCTTGTTGATGAGTAGGTACGGGTAGTACACCTTTTCGAACTCCAATTTGATCGGCTTGACGAACTTGGAAGAGACAAAACTAGCAGCTTCTTCGCCAAACTTCATGGCCTCGGGAAGGTCCTTGGTGCCAAACTTGACCATGACAGAGTCAGTGTCACCATAAATGACCTGAGCGTCGTGGGTGTATCCATTGGCAATGCAGTACTTCTTCTCAACCTCTTCCTTGGTCTTCATAATCATCTGTCGGCCAAAGGCTGTTGTGCTACTGGCGATTTCGAGACAAGGCAGCTTGCCGGTTGTCGCACCCGTGAGTCCGTAGACGGAGTTTGCACTGATCTTCAAAGCCAGTTGTCGACCGTTCAACACTGCTTTCTTGAAAGGATCCGTTTCCCCAGCCAGTTCACGCTTGGCCTGCTTTCTTGCGGTCAAGAGTTCCTCGAGAATCTGAGCAAGGAGACCCTTCCGTTGTTTGGTGGTAACAAAGGTGTCGCCGTTCGGGGTGACGATGTAATCATCGTCCTTCTTCAGATCGAACTTCTCGATGGCCTTCTTGTTGACCAGTGTCGTATAGCATAGGTTGTGGGCCTGCATGATACTCGGGTACAGTGAAGCGAAATCGAGGGTTGCGATAGGCACATCGTAGTATCCTCGGGTCGGCTCGATGACTGTGGCACCTTCATACTGCTCATCGCTACCCTCAGATCTCATATTTGGAATGACCAGCTTCTGTTCTAGGGCCTTCCGGAAAAGCTGACTGATGAATTTCACCTGCTGTCCTCGGGAGAGCAAAAAGTTGAACGGGATACCAGTGACTCTGGCCATCTCTGTGTAGTTTTCGAGGCAAGATAGCTTGTCCATGAGCCGCTGCGGGAGGTATGCGTCCTTCAGACAGTAAAGAGCGAGACGGCGGCGCGATTCAGGGGTACCGTTGAATAACTCTGTGATCATGGTGTAGTGAACATCTTCCTTTTGCTCTCCCAAAAATTGGGAGCACACAGAGTTGAGCGTGTAACTTCGAAGGTGGTGGTCGCGCTGGACAAGCTGCAGTAAGTCGAGTTGCAACCGTCCATTGGTATTGGTGGCCTTGCTGTCGCGATTACCCATCTGCTTACTGGAGAAATTCGTCTCCTTGGCTCTGGAAGGGATGCTAGGGATTCGAGACCAGTACTCGAATCCTCCAACCTTCAATGCCTTTGCCCTGTCGAGAAGGTATGGGAAATCAAAGTTGGCAATGTTGTATCCGATGATGATATCTGGGTCGACTTTGATGAGGAACTTCTGCCACTCGCTGAGCATCTTCTCCTCCTTCTCGAACTCGAGAATCTGTGTGGCGACGATAGGACTGGTTGTGTCTAAGCAGAACACGTTCCGCACGAAGGGCTTCTTTTCTCCGTATCTTGTCACCACGTTTGCAATCTGGATGACGGGGTCGTGTGTCGCCTCTGGGAAGATGCCCTTACGTCCAGCGCACTCAATATCGAACGACATGATTCTCAGAGGAGCCATCTTGGACCACTCTCCAACCGGCTTGTGAGCGATAAGGTCGAGGTAATTGATCTCGGCTTCGATTTGGCAGTTCGATTGTCGTTGGGACTGGTGCAGGACCTGGTATTTTGATGCGGGGGCTTCAACCCAAGACATTCCGAAAATCTAGCAGAAAAATATTAGCCTCGTCGAGAGAGTTGATACCAGAGAAACGCACCTTGCAGTCGACCATGAAACGGAGGACGTATTGAATGTTGTCGAATGTCATGATGCCGCCATCCATGCCCTTCCACAGACCCTTCCAGTTGGCATTGCCCGACTCGATCGTTGTCCGAACTCTTGCGATGAACTTGGGGTCCATGACAGTGACCTTGAGGTAGGGGCTTTTAACATTTCCTTGGAAACCATAAATATTTTCCCTCATCAGGAAAGCGACTGAGTGAATACAAGGCTGGTGCTGTGCTACTTGTGACTCGAGATAGGCCTTGAAAGCGTTGCAGTCTTCGGGTCGGAACGCCACCGGGGCAGCGACGTAGAGGTAGTGTTTGAAGTCGGTGACGTGCAACATCACTGAGTGGCCTTGCTCGGTAACACCAAACAGCTTGACCGTTGCTCGACCGCCGTGTAAACTGCCCTCCTCGGCCTCGATTTGCTGGAAGGTCAGGTTGTCCCTGGCCGGGTTGAAGTCGACAAGCGGAGGTCGGTCCCATGATTGATCCTTTTCGGTATTGTTCTGCTTGCGTTCGGAGATATCCTGGCTCAACTTCTCGAGAACTTCTGATTCGAAGGCACTCTTAGGTTGACTAGAGCCCGGAAGGTTCTTCGCATTCTTCTGGGAACCGACATGGCGGGCGGGTGAGGACGAGAACCCTTCGACTTTGCGCTTCTTGAGGGATGACGGTGTCGACGGGATGTTGCGGCGGGTGCTTGGGGTCTCCCCAAGCACACGCTTTTGAGGCAGCACTGTAGCCATTGTGGTGATCTGGCTGTGGTGGAAGAGTTGTGCAGAGTGAATCAACCAGACCTCATAGTCGGGTGGATTTGGGGGGTCGTTAGGTTGTTGCTATGGGATGGAACTTTCAGAAACCCATTAACGCGAAGACGCGCTTGACGTGATTGACGTCGACGTGACTTGACCCACTCTAAAGTGGCTGATGAAAGGCGCGAGCTGATGACTAAGGCAGGTGCACTTGGGTTCCTCTGGGTCTGAGACGCGACGTTGACGCCAAAGACGGGAGGTGCAGGAGAGCGGGTACTTCCCAGATTATCCCCACTCAAGTTCAGGTACGCCCTCCAATATCAACACTGAGGCAACCGAACAAAGTTGAGAAAAGAGCTTACCTTCTGTTTCATTTGTCAATTGGTTGCCTCCCCAGCATCTGTTATTTCTACGCAATTGTCGTTCTTATTTCTGCCCTCATTTTCCCCCTTTTCACCTGAGCAAGGGAATGATGCTTGTTAAGGCAAAACTTAGGTGACCACAATGTTGTCAAAAGGTTGTCACGAGAGACAATAGTGATAGATGACTCGTCGCAAAACCAACTCTTGATGTTTACTAGATGAGGCTAAGGTATATTTGGATATCAATATGTCTACAACTACAAGATGTTGGAAGCTTCTATACAGGACAACATGCTTCCAGAAATGACTGGTAGCTGTCATTGCATTCTACACATTGTCCCTGTTAGCTATGATGAACTCGACAGTACAAGTGATTCAAAAAGAGCAAATGGTGGCACATAGTCTCGCAAGGCATGTAGTCGCTCTCATTTCGTCGCGAAGAGACAAGAGAAAGAGAGACGAGATTGCTTGCGGTTGTCTTCAGATATCCATTCTAAGAGGCATCAACGGCGGTTTGTCACGACCGCTCAGCTAAGCCATGCAAATAGGATTCATCAAGAGATTGCCAAGAAACTCATGGTAGAAACAAAGAGAAGCAAACTTACTCTCAATCAACTTCCGAAACATCTGCTTTGGCGTGGCAGGACAGCATCTGACGTAAGGCGACGTAACGGGGCATCTTGGTAATGCGTCTGTGGGCGCGATCATGGCAACCTACTCAACGGCACACAGGCAAGCAGCTAGACACAGAAAACAATGGGGGAAAAGCGTTCATTTATGTTTTCATATTAGGACTGGGTTGAGTTTTAGATACGTAAACCTCGTGCAGCCCATCGAATGATATGTGCGGGGTAAACCAGGGGCGTCCGAGGACGATGCGACTGCGTGATGCCGAGACGGTTGGTCGGTCAGCGGCAGCGAATAGAGAGAACCCTGGCAAACCCCCGCAGCGCTATGTGTATGGCTCTACCTAAGAAGACGATTTGTCTCTGTTGGACGTATGGGAGAGGATCCTTTCCTTCTTCTTTCATAAAAATACCCATCGTGAACCGGGACGCCGTCGCTGAGCAATGCAAATCATGAACCACCCTTGCCAAAGTCCATAAGCCAGTGCAATGCAAACTCTCGTAGCATTAATTGGGTCGTTCCTCCTATGATGTCAACTCTTCATGATGAAGTGATCTTGAAGTTGTCAAGCTCGCACCAGTTGTTTACAGGCTAGTTTTAGGTTAGCAGATGATCGTCGTCAGCATGGGTGATCAGATAACTTACAATACAACTGAGGTACTTGCACCAACTGCAAGTGTTGTGGTAGATGTAGAAGTTATTGAGTAGGACGATGAAGACAATGATGACCGTCAGCAAGAAGCCGGCTCTGACCAACCACCATGCCCACCAGAGTGGCTTCCTGCCCTTGAAGAAACCGATGGGATTCTTCAAGAACGGCGGTGGGCCACCCTGGTTGGGAGTGAGATGCATGGATGCGTATGATGGATCCTCAGCGCCAAGTCTCCGTCTCAAGGAATTGGGCGAATGCAAGACGCAGATGCCCAGCGCAAGACCCATTAGGAAGCCACCGATATGGGCAAAGTTGTCGAGTCCTGGCAGCAGACCCAGTACGAAAGAGATGACTACATCCAACATGATGAACATCAGGTCTTTCACAGGGCTGCGACGGTCCTTCCAGGAGTACAGGAGATCGAGCAGGGTGAGAGCGATGACGCCGAAAAGGGCACCTGAAGCACCTGTGGATGCAGCCATAACACCGGCGTAGTTTGCTCCCATGACGTTGCCGAATATGCCTGCGCTCACATAGACCAAGAAGAAGCGAATGGAGCCGATGGCTATCTCCATCTCCTTTCCTATCGTCATTTGCAGAAGCAGGTTGAAGCCGATATGGATGAGACCTGCGTGCAGGAAAATGGGTGTGATGAAGCGGAACCACTGGTTGGGTTCCGGTGACTGGTTGATGTCGGTGTAGGTAGGCTCCGGCACACCTCCGAAGCCGCATAAATCGCCGAGGCCGCACTGGTTCGAGGGGTTGCTGGCGTCGCTCGAGGTCGAGTTCGGGCAAGGCCATGTGATGGGCTGGCCGAGATCCTGGATACCCTTGACGTTGTGCATGCAAGCTACGTAGCGAGCACCCATGTTGATCATAACGTAGGTGGAAGGTCCAATCATGGGGTTGAATGAGGGCTTGGTCATGATGGGAGAACCGGTGAGTTGAGCTGCGTTCCGTTAGTATCAAATACTGTTAGGTTTGACCTGTTGATTTGGCTTACCGTTCTTCACAATCTCAGCGATGAACACTGCAACCTGAACCAACGTGAAAATGTAAACGACCCATGGAATACCCTTTCTGTCGGCGCCAAACATGCCCAGCTGACCAAATCCAACCTTGTTCTTGTCGCGGCGACTCTTTGAGCGGCGAGATCCCGCAGGTGCGTCGTAGACATGGTCATTCTCGTTCATCTCCACATCCTTGTGCGGCTGCGTCGGCTGCCGGCTTTGCAAGGGAATCTCGTCGGCCACATTTTGTCTGCTCGAGTCTGGAGAAGTGGAATGACCGTAGTAGGCAGTGTCCGGCTGAGCATAAGGATTCTGCTGGTGGGGATCGTGGCTGTTGTAGGCCGTCTGACCGTGGCCCGAGTAGGCGGTGTTTACTGTATTCATCGTGTTCATGCGCTGGGGTTGCATGTTGTTCGTGCTCTGAGGATGAGGGCTCTGTGTGTTTCCGTTGTGGCGAAATCCGTCCTGTGTTGAGTCTACGGGATAGACATGATCGTCAAAGACGCTTTCGAAGGGGGATACAGTGTTGGCGCGCGGTGGTGGTGGTTGGCTGGCGCCGGGCGCAGGCGTTATTGAGCTGTAGGGAGGAGCGGGTGTTGAACTGGTTGAGGGAATGTTGTTGTAGGCAGCACCGCCGTAATAGGGAGCAGGCGAGGGAGAAGCTCCTGGAGGGGGTAGCGGTTTGTTCTGGTAATAGTCGTTGGCAGCCATGATATGTGCTGGGTCGGCGGATGCCAATTACGAAGGGACTGGAATTATGTGAGACCAGGGGAATGGGAATCTGGGCGAGGTCTCGTCCTTTTCTGAGAGTCGAAATCTCGCTTGGAGCGGCTGAACTAGGCTTCGGCGGGCAGCGAAGGCAAGCAAGGCAAATCGGACTAGTGCGAGATGGAGAATGGCTCAGGTACCGACCGGAAAGGGATGGGACGCGGAGAAATGTGACAGCGGGAGGGTTGAAATGAGGTGTGTGTCGTAACGTGGTCGGGGGGTCGTGGATATTTGTTCGATGCAGCGTTTTGGCGTGGATCGATGAGCCCGAGCTAAGCCTGGAAGACGGATGGAGTGATTGAGTTGAGGTACGGATACAATGCAGGGTGTCCGTGAGCGCGGTGGGTCGGTGACAAGCAAATTAAGCCCGGCTTAGCCAGCCTCTCTGAATGAGACCAAGGTAACCGGAGTAAGCTGAAGCTGAGGAAAGGCAAAGCCGCCAAAGAGAAGTGAGAAGAATGTCGTAAAGTAATTGCAGGTTTACCTCCAGGCGCGCAGTAGGCGGATTATGAATTAGCGGACTGGGAGAATGCCTGTGCACTCAACCTGAGCTACACTACTTCGGATGACCGGGTGAGTAGAAGATAGTTTGGGTGTTTTGGGTGCTTGAGTGTCGGAGCGCAGAAAGGAGAGTTCCTGTGTAGCACCTAAGGGGTTATAGGGGGCAGAACGAGTGAAGGGAGTGCCACCTTAAGCAGTAAACTCGTATGTCGTCGGTTAAGGGATGAATATGGTAACAGGAGCAGGACACGTTCTCACGACACGAAGGGGGGATGCGAGGAGGTTATTTCTTTTAAACAGCCCAGCTTTCAAACGCAAGCCTTCCTGGTCTTGTTTCTGTTTTCTGCCCAAGCCTGCCAAGTGGGAGGCATAGTACCTTGCGGCTGGCGCTGGACCAACAACTACACCGGGTTGGATCCATAGGTACGTAAGATACAGAGGAGGAACGGCAATGTGGTTGGCAGTGAAGAGGACCCAAAACACTGCCCGCCTCTCAGACTCGAGGCCTCTCTTGAGCGAGTGGATCATGGTGACGGGAGTGTGTGGGAGGGAGGCGGCCCAGTGAGAGGTGAAGAGGGGGGATGCACAATGGCACACCACCAAACGGGAGTCTGAGCAGGGTGCAGTAGGCTTGCAGTAGTTCCGGCTTTGAGGCTGTGTCAGCAATGCCAGCCCTTTTTTTTCTGCATCTTCCACTCCGACCAGAGTCTTTCCCCCGCCAAATGGGACCGTCGCCAGTCATACCTACCTGGGTACCTTACGGTGCCTGTTCGTACAAAGTACACCTGACGTACGGATCGGACATTTAAGCCTGAGTTAAGGTGGGCAAGGAACAATAGCGCCCTTGCCTTACGAGGTACGATGCCTACGAAGTACAAATGTCAAAAGCGACAGGGCGGCTGCCATTCAGCAGCGCATCTGCATCTGCAACTGGCAGCCCTTCGTGGCAGCGGCACATGTCGCGGTACGAAGACTCGTGGCTGCACCTCTGAGCTGTGCTATGTTTGGAACGGAGACCCACAAGTTTCAGATAGTTGCGTAACCCAGCCTGCCGACCCCCGGCGTGGCAGGTGAGCTGTGAGGTAACTCGACCAGACGGGACCCTTCGTGCCTTCTTCCAACGTCCTTTCTTGCCTCTGTCGAATGCACCTTTCCACTAATCCAAGCTGGGCTCGGAACAGAGCCACATCTCAGCCGAGGCCGATGTACCCGCCACTTCTCTTCTTCTTGAGCTCTTCCTTGAGCCTCTCGCATCGATTCTGCGGGCTGCAAGGCTGCCTACCGTGCCTACCTGGGGATACATCTATCAACTTTAGACAGCAAGCCATCCGCCTTACTCGCTGATCCGCTTAGGGAAAGCAGGATGACATGATGATCAACTGTCAGCATTCGAAACCTTGAAAGCCAGCCATAGCAGCAGCTTCTTGCAATCCTTCCGCAGACGTGCCCTTTGGCTAACGACTGCCGATCCATGCAGTACATGCAGACTACGGGCAGCATCCTGGCAGCCTGGCTCCAACACTCGCTCCACAAGACGACCACAACCCCAAGCCTTCAAGAGTCATGACCCTGCAAACCCTCGGCGATTCCACAGCGTTGGGGGAGCAACACCAGCATGAGGTGTTCATTCCATTAATTCCATCCCATCAACATCTACATCAACTGCCCTGCCGCCATCCGACAAGGACCGGCCTGGCGAGGCAGGAAAACCTTCGTTTCCTAATCGGCCTCTCCTTGGAATCAATGACAAGAAACCATCCTGGATATCTGGGGGGGTCCCCAATAAAGCTCTCCAATGTGCCTTACAAATGGACCCCAAGGACATACCGACCGGAATGTGGATTTCGCAACACCCGCGATAGTACGCCCTCCTAAAGAATCTGCCCGACACTGTGGGTTCGTCGCTTCTCAGCCTCCTTTCGCTCGACTCTTCCCAGTCAACATTGTGACACCTTTATATCGTTCCAAGCCAAACTTCGCGTCCACCAAGAATTGGTACAAGAACAGAGAAGACAGACCCAGAATGGTCTTCCACCAATATCCGCTGTTGTGATCACGGAACTGATACATGTCAGCTGAGCTTCCAACAGTTGCTGACATTCACTTGCATCGTCTTTTCCACAGCTCGGGCAAAAAAACCTGCGCCAGACCGTCAGCTCACCAACAACGGTCGCGCACTGCCCAGGTTTGGGGCACTTACGACAAAGGGTGGCTCGGCCGTCACCCACTAAGAAATGGTTACTCGTGGAGGCAAGCCACATGCACTATCGGAGAGAAACACGAGAAAGCACCCAAGCCCATGAGATGACGTACTCGGACAACATTCGAATCCTCTTTTAACTCTTCCTCGTGCTTTCTGCTTGCGAGAGAGCTGACGCTGGGTTTGACAGCACCCTGCCAGTCATTTTGGCATCCCCCCGAGCCAGCCCTATCCAGAATGCTGGCTCAAGCTGGAATCATCGTTGTCCGTGCGTTGTCGGAGATCGGGGGTCCTCTCGCCCTGCGTGCGGCGCGACTGAATGGAACAACCTATGGGCACCTATGATGGCGCCTCAGGTCCACGACCGTTGCGACGCCACACGCTATCACGTGTCGATAAGATAACAGAAGGGGAAAAAGACCCCTGGTTTAATCAACTTTTTTTTTCCTTCGCTTGGGGGAGCTTTAATTAGGAAGAGGGTCGTTGCGCAGAGTTTCCAGAGTTCCTCAATTGCACGGAGATTTGCCTACTGCACGCTGAAGATCCAGTTTACACAGCCATTCGAAACTATGAGCAAGAAAATCCGCGGTGGTGATTCCGACTCCGACAGGGAGGACGGTGGCGCCAAGCTCAATGCACCCACGGTTCGCCTGACTTCCCGAGTCTTCAGCTGTCTTGGTTCTAACCCCCACCTTAGGAGGCATCTACCGATGCCATGGATGTAGATGTCCCACCAACTCCTGCCGACAAGAGACAGGCAGCAGCCATGGCTCGCGCCGAACGAGCTGCGCGTAGAAAACAAATCCGTGAGGGGTTGACGCCTGGAGGCTCCCAAATTTCTTCCTTGGCCAGCACGCCGAATCCCGAGTCCCAGCCCGCATCGCCTGCGCTCAAAGCACAAGAAAAGAAGACGAGGGGAAGGAAGGCGACAAGAAAGAGCACAATCGTCGCTGAGAAGGAAGAAGAAAAACCAGAGGACAATACGGCGACAGGAACCCCCGACGAGACCACCACAGCAACAGAGCCCGCAGAGCCTACAGAGTCAGAAGAGCCCGCAGAGCCAGCAGAGCCAACAGAGCCAACAGAGCCAGCGACAGTGCCTACCTCTACTCCTGCAACAGATGCCGAGCCGCTCCCCTTCGTGATCGATGTGAACCCCACCAAGATCAAGATTCCCGACAACACAAGCGCGTCCATAGCCGGCTACGCCACATCCATTGCCCCCAGCTCGGCGTTCGGCGGCGATAGCCAGATCGGTGGCCCCAACCGCGCAGCAAGGCGGCGGCAGATGCAGATTGATAACCATCGGAAGGCGATTAAGAAGGAGCTTGGCATACCCGCCGAGTCGGACGAGCGCGCGGAGGAGGTGGACGCGCTACTCAAGACCTGGATCGCCGAGTTTGACGAAAAGACCGAGGCGCGGGCGGCCAAGAAGAAGGCCAAGAAGATCGCGTCAAAGGGGAAAGCACAGGGTAAGCCTTACTCAGGACGAAACAACAAAAATGATGAGAAGCAGAAGCAGATAAAGAAGCAGAAGCAAAAAAAGGCCCTACGAGACCGGCAGGGAGGCAACTAGGAGAGAAGTTGGCCGACCTGCGGCTCGATGGGGCCCCGCCGATTCTGGAGAGCAAAGGCGTCGTGAGGGAGTAATGGATGTGTGATGAAAGGGGAAAGGGAAGGAGGATCCAATAAGACAAAAGTATATATGCATGCATATTGGCGTCTAGCGGGTCAAATGGGAGGAGGATATATCAATAACAAACTGAACGCCGAGCTCAAATAACGGCATACCGGCCATACTTCGCAAGATGGCGGCATATCCTTACACGTCACAGATCGCAAAGCGCGGGCCTTACTTGTGTGATGGTGCTCAATAATAGTAATGTACAGCCAGGGGAGATTGTCACCAACCCATCAATGCTCCAAACTGCAAACCTTCAACGCCTTTTTTGCTAGACTCCCTGCTAGCCACAGTGTGTACCTGGACTTGAGTCGGACGATTTCCCCTCCAAATCCATTACTTGTGCGTTCTTGGTATCCTACACTGGCCGTCACCTCTCATCGACAACTCCCCCTCAGTTATTGCTTCTTCTCATTATCGTTCTTCTGACTCTCCTCCGCCTCCTCCTCCTTCGCGCCGCTCCAAACCTCAGAAACCTGCTCGGCAATCAAATCGCCCAAACCCTTGCCCTCGGCAAGCGCCTTCGCGTGCTCAGCAGCCCTCTTGGCCTCCCAGTCCTCGGGCTCGCTGCCGTACCACAGCCTCTGCGCGAGGTTCCGCTTCTTGAACTCGATGGCGCGCATCTGCTCCTCCGTCAGGCCCTCGCGGCGCATCCGCTCCTCGCGCAGGAGCTGCTTGGTGCGCTGCGCCTGCTCGGGCAGCGTCGTGGGGAACATGCGACCGAGGCGGGACTGCATGCGCTGGAAGAGGGACTGGCCGCTGTAGTCGTAGATGAGCTGGTTGCCCGAGGCGGAGAAGCCGGTCCAGAGCATGAAGGTGCGCCAGTCGATTCGGCGGGGGGGCATGAGCATGATTAGGGGGCAGAGGACTACGCCTGCCCAGGCTGCGTTGGTGATGATCTTGGGGGTCGGGGTCGGGGCTTGGCCCGTTGGTTGTGTAGAGGCTGAAGACATTTTGTGTGTGTGTGTGTGTGTATGTGGTTGTGATGTTTTTTCCGCGATGGAGGTTTTGTCGGGCTTGGAGGTCAGAAGCTGCTCGGGTTCGGCGGCTGAGCAAGTCTTCTCGTGGATTCGTTTGCGTCGACGCTGTATTCGTAGGTGGTTTTCCGGTTCGGGACGGAGACTGGTGTCGCAAGGCGGGTGGGTGATGCTGAGTGTTCAAGTCAATGACGATTGACGAAGCTGTCTGGTGCAGGTGCGAAAGAGAAATCTCCCAAATTTTAAGAACCGCGCTAGGCCCCGGCGCCGAAAATCGAGGTGGGGCCGACCCGGGGCTCCGGGACACAAACCACCTGAGTCGAATGCTTGCACCTAGCCAACACGAGCACTCCTACCTTAGTGATTAAGCCTTTGAAGTGGATCTCAAGCAGTGGTCATTAGAAACAGATAGTCTGGCGAGAAAATGTAATTCGAAGCAAGGTTCAGTGACGAGTTCTCGGCAAGGATAGCGGGAGCCGATTGAATCCAGGATCTTCAGACTCATCAAGATGACCGCGAGAGATGTGAGGAATATCTCCGAGGTTGACAACCAGATTTCTTTATCATGCGGAACAACCCATCACAGGTATCTAAGCAGCTCGCTCGCTGTCAGGGAAATTCATCCAATTCAATTGCATAGTGCAATAATAGCAATTTCAGTTTGCAGACGAGAAGCAATAGACATTGTACAAGCCTAAATAAACGTCATAGACTTAATCAGAATGAAACTTTCCAGAGTAGTAAGTAAGCACCTGTCCCCTCTTTAAATCATCACTGATTTGCTTCATTATCATTGAGATATGACCACTAAATAACACTGCCCCAAGAAACGCCTTCAAACATGCGACACGAAACCAAAATCCAGACTTTTCTAGTTTTCCTACTTTTGAACTCCTCCAGATGCAGATGCGTGAACAGAATCCAAGATAGCCTCCTCTTCCGACCACAAATGCGCACCCGTCTCCTTGAGCAACTGCACGCACTTCTCCTTGCCCATCTTTTCGGCGAGGTAGAGCGGCGTGTTGTTGGCCAGATTCCTCGAGTGCACGCTGGCGCCCCTCGTCAGCACTTCGCGCAGGATGTCAATGTTGGGCCCGACGGCGGCCAGGTGGACAGTCGTGTTGCCCGCGTAGTCAGCGGCCTTGAGGAGCTCGTGCTGGGCGTCGTTGTCTAGGATCTCCTTCACCGTCCGGACATCGCCATTTCGTATGGCGTAACCGAGGACGGTAAATGCCGATTCTGACGCGGTTAGTCGCGCTACGACCGAGTCGAGTGAGCCAGATGGATGCGAAAATACCGGAAGAGCCATTTCCGTCATCTCGCCACGCAGAGACTGAGACATTCTCGCGCTGACCTGGGCGGTGGAAAGGCTGGGGATGGCGAGAAGGTAGGACAGCTTGGTGAGGGCGGCCTCTGCTGTGAGATCGAGACCGAAGATGACGCCGGCGCGGCCGAGTTCGGTTCCAGGACCGTAGACGGGAGAGACAAAGCCGCTCATGCACTGACTGACGTTGACGACGATGACACCGCGGTCCACGGCGGCCTTGATGACCTTGGTCAAGCTGCCGTCGATACCACTGGGGGCGTTACCCATTCCGAAAGTCTCGAGGATGAGGCCACGTAGATCGGGGACACGCAGGACCGAGTCGAGCATCTCTGGCCTGATGCCAGGGAACACTCGAAGACAGGCAACGTGAGCTGTGTCGAGGTGCTTCGTGACCTGGAGCTCGGCGATTCTTGTGGGCCTCAACACAATGGGCCAGTTCACGTCAATACCAAGTCCGTTCACCTTGGCCAGTGGCTCGCAGTTGGGGCTAGCAAAGGCCTCGAAAGCGGCAGATGAGACCTTGCTGGTTCTGTTGCCGCGGAACAGCTTGTGATGGAAGAAAAGACCGACTTCGGGGATGACAAAGGTTCCTGCGATGATGAGCGAACCGAGGAGATTGTCGACGGCGTCGGACTGGAGAGCAAAAATGGAGGCCTGGGAACCGGTGAGGATGACCGGCTTTCCCAGATCAGAGAGCATGAATGACAGAGCCGATGCCGTGTACGAAAGAGAGTCGGTTCCGTGCAAGACGACGAATCCGTCAAAAAGGCGGTAGTTTTCCCTGATGGTCTGGGCAATTTCCGTCCAGCCTTCCGCTGAGATGGAGCTAGAGTCCAGCAGAGGGTTGAATTCCAGCACACCGTAGCGAATGTGACGGGAGTAAGCACTCGGTGGTGTTCTCAAACTGTCGATCATGATTCTTTTCCCATCTTTGACGGCCTCAAGTTGGACTACGCATCGTCAGTAAGACTCATTACAGCTACCAGTTATTTTTGGCAATTGGTGCTCCAGTCCAGCCGCGGCTCGGGGAAATATGTCCTCAACATTTACAAGAAGTCTTTGTGAGAACGGACCAGGATTTCCAACATGCGAAGAAGGCAGACAAGTACTCATTTCTTGACTTTCGTATTTCCTTGGGACGTGCTGTCTTTCAGAAAAACCTACCAGGAGGGGAGGACTTGTCGTTGAATGAGGGCCGCGGAGCCATGGCATCCTTCAAGAAACCTCCAATGGGCTGGAGTCCATCGGCGGTAGGCTGCATGCAGATGGTTCCGCCCGTCATGATAATGAGGACTCGAGACTCCGGGTAGTTGGACGCCGGCAGGAGTCTCTCGGCGGTAGGTTCGAAAGCCATTATGTCGGTGTATCGGTGATGCCGAGTTCGAGTTGTGTTACGTAGCGAACAGCAATGAGTGAGGGAAAGTTGGGTGTCGTCCAGGTCCAGACTTTATCACGTACTGAAGCCTCCACAGATGGGTATAGTAAATTGAGGGGCACGGGGTAATGGAGGGGCAAGAGCTTTTGTATGGAGAGCGAGGCGAAAACAGTTGGCCAGTGTCACGCACGGGTGGTGTAAAATTTTGTAAATTTTGTCGGATGGAGGAGACTGTAAGAGACTGTGACGAGCGGGCAGTGATGGATGATGAAAGCAAGCGAGTGGAGACGGATGGCGAGTCAATCAAGTCATTTGTGGCATACATCAACAATTTAAAGGCAGTCAGAAGAGCCCTTGGTGTCCGGTATACGGCAACAGCCTGGATGAACCTAACAAGAGCTGGCTGACATTGGGTTTGGCTGCTTGCCGAAGCCTTAGATAAGGAGGGACAAGGGAATGCGGGCAAAGACCAGACATTGCCCCTCGCACTTGACGGTATGTCTTATCGCGATAAGCCAAAAAGTTGTCGCAAAACTTGGGCGAAAACCCGAGTAGAGCCAAGTATCGCGGGGCAGAGTTGATGGGACAAAAGCCGATAGCGGATGGCGGGCAGAGTTTTGGAGGGGTAATAATTAAGTAACAGAACGGCCACGACAGCGGCGTGACCATTTCAAGGAACCAGGCATGGCTGGCTAGACTCGACGAGGGTGTGAGTCGCTGACCACTGCGAAATTCGTGTGGGAGCGCAGAGTGCCTATTCGTACTCAGGCAGAGGCTGATCAGAGTTCTGCGGTTGTTGTCGATATTTCTTGTTGTGCCAAGTTCGGCCCAGGATGGAATTAAATCTGGCATTTGCTTGATGGCGAATTGAGATCAGCCTAAAAAAATGCGACAAGTTGCTTGCAGAACTTCCCGTTACCTTCGGACGATGACGCACGTGCGTGGACTAGGCCAAAATGAACCTGCCACCTTTTTTCAACCGAATGCTCAGGTACCTACGTTCCTTTTTTCTCGTCCATGGTACTCCGTACCTTAGGTAGGTTGGACACGGCCGACACACTCGGCAGGACCCACAATGCAGGACCAGGGATTTTCCGCGACCTGAGTTCCATCATCGCCAATCTGGAACTTGATTGAGATTCTGCCACAGACACCGCCCAAACACCAACCCATCCTCAACCATCTGGGCAGGTGAAATCTAACAACTACAGAAGCTCTTTGCTATCGACGGAAAATACTTAACTCTAGCATCAGTATATGTTGGCTACGATTATCCCCGCGAAAACCTGGCCACCGCTAGCAATGCGACCTGTTTAGTTGTCGTTCGCCCTTGACCCCATCTGTCACCAGAACGTCCGATCGAGCAAGCCAGTCTTTCACGCGACAGGCGCATCTCGCCGCGCTTCGCATCCATCATGGATTCCAGTGCGCCCAACGGAGGCTTGTCGCCTCGGGCTTTTGCGATGCAGCACCAGCGTCCTCGGGCCAGTTTCCAGGGATGTTCACGAATCTCCGACTACGAACTCCTCGGGAAGTTGGGTGAGGGTACTTTCGGGTTAGTCCTCTTCCAGACCTCACTTCTCTGGTCGTGTTACTGATGTGCTCCGCAGTGAAGTTCACCATGCGAGATCTCGCAAGACCAACGCGCATGTCGCCGTCAAAAAGATCATCATGCACCACGAAAAGGATGGCGTACGTGTGATCCCCGTTGCCAGATAGTCAGCGCATCTACTTACCGATGTTCGACAGTTCCCCATCACGGCATTGCGAGAAATCAAACTTCTGAAACTGCTCTCTCACAAAAATGTCCTGCAGCTGGTGGACATGGCTGTGGAGCACCCTCAGAGAGCCAGTAAGTCGCTCATGCTCAACTACCCAATTCGCCAGCAGCAATTCCTGACCCGAATTGTGACAGGCGACAAGCGCAAGCGCCCAATTATGTACATGGCAACCCCGTACATGGATCACGATTTGTCGGGTCTTCTCGACAACCCTTCCGTTCATTTCACCGAACCGCAGATCAAATGTTACATGCTGCAGCTCCTCGAGGGATTGCGATATCTGCACGACCAACATATCCTACATCGAGACATGAAGGCTGCCAATCTTCTCATCAACAACAAAGGCATCCTCCAGATTGCCGATTTCGGTCTGGCAAGACACTACGAAGGGCCCACGCCCAAGCCTGGACATGGGGCAGGAGAGGGGAAAAGGGAATACACCGGCCTTGTCGTCACTCGGTGGTACAGACCCCCGGAATTGCTGCTTCACCTGAAAAGATACACAACCGCTATTGACGTTTGGGGTGTTGGGTAAGTGTCAGAATCGGCGCATCTTTGGCACCCGGCACTAATGATTTGTCAGCTGTGTCTTTGGCGAAATGCTTGTTGGAAAGCCGATTCTAGCTGGTGAGAGCGATACACACCAGCTCGACATAATCTGGGATCTGATGGGGTCGCCCACGCCGGAAAACATGCCCCTTTTCAACACTCTTCCTGGTGCTGAAGCAGTGACCCCACGCCCTCGGCCTGGTAGCATTACCAACAAGTTCAGAGAGTACGGAACCGGAGCAGTCTCTTTGCTTAAGGAGCTTCTCAGACTTGACTGGAAAAGTCGCATAAACGCCGCCGATGCGCTCAACCATCCATACTTCAAAATGGCTCCCATGCCAGCTGAACCTGGAGACCTACCCACCTTCGAGGACAGTCACGAACTAGACAGGCGAAAGTTCCACGATCGTCAGGCAAAACTCCCACCAGCGCCCAAGGGAGGCACGGTGGGCATGGGCCCCGAGGCGCACGGCGCGAATGCCGGTTTCAACAATACCGATGCTTACAGCAACCGCAATGGCGTAAACGGTCGGAACGCCAATGTACCCGGAGGTCACAGGAACGGCGGCGATGAACGCCGACCAGCTTGGCAGCGCGACAACAGAGGCTTACCTCCGCGACCGCCCCCACCCGAGTATGCTAACGGCGGCCCTATGCCACCCCGCGATGACTACCGGGACAGAGACAGAGATAGGAGGCCGAGAAGTCGAGGAGGAAGAGGTCCTGACGTAGACACGTATATCCCGAGCTACAGAGACGATGTTCCTCCACGACATAGAGACGACCGGCCTCCTCGCGACCGACGCCGCAATAGTAGAGATGAGCGATGGCACGAGCGAGACTGGGATCGCCGGACGCGCAGCCGTAGCCGCTCTCCCATGCGGGAACGGGAGGCGTACCGCAGATGAGATTGCGGCCTGTACAAAAGACAGTATAATATCGAATGGCAGGACAGCTCGGCGAAGCACTGGGACAGGCGTTTGGGGGTGGGAGCATAATTCCAAGCAAGGCTGGTATACAATTGATTCCCCGGTAATGAATGCTTCCCTTCCCAGCAGTAGTGGTTTATATGAAGAAAGGCCGAATTACAAAGTCAAATCTCTGAATCATCGTCGTCCTCCTCATGAATCGTTTGCGACCAAAGCCCGGGAGTTCGCCTCCGTCTCTTTGGGGGCGGCTTGTTCAGCAACTGCCAATCAGTCTCGTAGGATGATGAGTCTTCTGTTTTACCAGTCCCGGGCCGCTCTGACAATGGTGTTCCCGGCATTGGTGTTGTTGAGAAAGAACTAGACCTCTCATCATGCATGCCGAGGACAGAGGTGATGATACCGGATGTGCAAGCCATAGTCAGGCCAGCCAAGATGCCGATGCACGCACCACAGGCCAACTTAGGGAAAGGTTAGTATATCAGCAGTCTAATATTTGGGTAGGTAAGGCAGAGATCTCACAAAGGTATAGAGGGGCTGTGTTATGCAAGTTAGCGATGCCGTCAATCGCATGCGTTTCAAGGGAGGATGGAGGAGGGTCTGCTTACCTGGAGACTAGCTATGAAGTCGATGACAGATTGGCACCATCCCAATACAAATGTTGCCATGAGTAATAGGGGCGATAGTAGTATGAGGATCACGTTGATGAAGAATGCCACAGGCTTCCAAACTATTCTTGCAGGCCATGTCGCGATGGTAAACACGCCAGAGGCGTATGACAGCAGTGCCATGATGTGAGGTGTGAAGAGAAGGCCTCGTGATTGTGGTACTTTGATTGACGTAGCGTTACAGGGGTAGCTCAGTGTAAGCTATACCTGGAGGGAAGAGTATCACTTTTTGATCTCCCGGCATGGCAGTTTGGTAAGATTACGATGGCCTGTGAGGTTGTTGAAAGAGTGGAGGTAAGAGTTGACTGAGGAGAGATGAAGCTTAAAATCGAAGGGCGGTGGGTTCGTGACACGGGTGTTTACTCCGCGGCCGGTCACATTCCAGCCAGCCTTTTCGTTCAGAAATTCGGGGGTTGATGTTGATGTGCCACGGTGCGTGGGCCAGTTGTGAGAACGGCAGAGAGTTGTGTTGGTAAGGTACCTGCAACAAAAGTTGAGTTAAGCTCCAGCCCGAATTTGGAAGGAAGCACCGGCTCCTTCAGGTCAGCATTGGCGAGCAGGCAAGAAAAGATAGTCGGACGGCCGCTTTCAGAGGTACGGAGCTTGGATTCATCAGGCCGAGGGGAGGAGGATGCAATTTAAGCCTGCGCGCACTGACCAGCTGGAGGTGCCGACGAGGCACACGCCATCCTTATCATTCCCATTTTGTGATGATTTGGCTCATGATTTCTGAGAAGTACGGAAAGCCTGACTTTACAATGAAGGGCCAAATAAAAGATGGACAATAGAATGCCACTACACGCTAGAGGTCATTTGACAGGTAAGCCGAAATCCAGCTACTGTAGAGATGACGGTAAGGCCGGCCGGTAGGGTGACAGGTCAGGTCAGCCTGCGAGTTGTACTTCGTACAGTGATGGGCTAAGCGGAGGCCCGCCGGTACTTGGTTCCCCATGGTCCGCAATATGGGATATGGAGTACCAATCATGTAGAGCTTATCTGGCTTCGACTAGATTGGAACCCCCCAAATCCAAGTGGGAACGCACCACCACCACCAC